GGCCTATTCTTGTCTGTGTCTATTTGCAAGATGCCTGTTGTTCTCCACGGCTGTTTTTCCCATCGTTGCTGTTGACTTGGCAGGGCCCCAGGGTGGAAGCCCTGCCGAAGAGCTCTGCCCCAAGAAACTCGGCAGCTCCTGAAGCCAGGCTGAGGACCAGGTCCGGGAACCCTGTCGCCCAGGGGCTGCCTGAGGAGATACTGCCATGAGACAGCCCTGCTTGGGTCTGGCACCCTGGTGCAGGGCCTCGGCCAGCATGCTCTCGGAGAACAAGCCTGCAGGAACCGTGGTGGCCCTGTGCGGGCCTCGGGGCCTGGCTGGCGCTCCTCTTCTCTGCCACGTGTCCTGCCTTAGCCCCACTTTCTAGGAATTCTCATCAGCGTCAGGGCTGGGGAAAGTTCTTCCTCAGCCCTGCCTTGGAGCCCCCAGAGCAGTGGCCTCAGACTTTTAAAATCACATGTCCCTGTCAGAAGAATATTTGAGCATGTCCTCCGAGTACGTGTCCTTACTGCGTGAGCGGTATGTGAGTGGTATGTGTGTGCTGCTGCTGCTGCTGTGGAACATGTACATTATATGCATATCTAAGAAGAAAATTTTAATGATTTATGTAATTTTAAAAGATGGAAGGAAAAATGAAACAATTATGAATTTGCTTTTTTAATCTTATTTTCATGAAGATACACTCTTAAAAAAAAATCTTACCACTTTCTATACAGTATTCAAAGGCAGAGCACATTTCAGTGCTTCATTTTAAGTTTCCCTCGCCGCACCCTCAGAAAGGGACACTCAAATGGAACATGAGTAGCATCTTTGTGCTTAAAAAAATCATGATCCCCACTTTCCAGTCTGCCCACCCATGACACGAAGGTTTTTACTGAACTTCCCAGTTGCTCTTGCAGATTTCCGGTAAAGGGGTTTTAACAAGGCTACAAACCCCTCTAAAACTCTTTGTTTGGAATTCTTTTAAATCGATAAGGAAATTGTTTTTACAATTCTTCATTGTACAAATATAGGAGTACAATGTAAAGATAACAGGAAATTTTAGAGATGGCTTATTTTTAAGAATTGGATTTTTAAAAAATTACTTTTAATTTTGCACACAGTAAAATACACTGTCTGGTGTATGGTCCTGTGAGTACGACAAACACATAGTCTTGTAACCACCCCACAGTCACGGCCCGGAGCAGTTCCCTCGCCGGCTAACTCTCTGTGGTCTGCTTCCCCCCTTCCCCATAACCTGTGGCAGCCACTGACTGTCTTAGCCTAGAGCCTTTCTGATTCATTCATGCTGTTTGTTCATTCACTGATTGCGAGGCACTGAGATTGTTTCCAGTTTTGGACAATTACAAATAAAGCGTCTAAAAACATTCTTGTCCAGGTTTAAACATAGGTTTCCATATGACATGACTGCACAGAACCACCAGACTATCTTTTTTTGAAGATTTTATTTCTTGACAGGCGTGGGGGAGGAGAAAGAGACGGAGAGAAACATCAATCGCCTCTCACGCTCCCCCAACAGGGGGCAAGCCTGCAACCAAGGCATGTGCCCTGACTAGGAATCGAACCAGCAACCCCTTGGTTTGTGGGACGACACCCAACCCACTGAACACTAGTCAGGTCAAAACCACCAAATTTTTGTCTAAAGTGGTTGTGCTGTTTTGCAATGTAGGAGAGTTCCTTCTGCTTGCTACACATTCTTGACAGCACTTGGTTTTCTCAGTTAAAGAATTTAACCATTCTAATATGTGTGTAGTGGTATCTCACTGTGTTTTTAATTCATGTTTCCCCTAATAACTAGTGATGCTGAGCATCTTTTTATGGGGCCCATTTGTCATCTGTTTATCTTTCTTGAAGTCTGTTCAAATCTTTTCCCATTTTCTTATTGTTGAGTTTTGAGAGTTATTTATATATTCTAGATATAAGTCTTTTGTGAGATATATTATTAGCAAGTATTTTCTCCCGGTCTAAGTCTTATTTTTCATTCTCTTAGTGTCTTTTTCAGAGCAAAAGCTTAAAATTTTGAAGTTCAATTTAGCAGTTTTTAAAATAAATTATGTTTCTGGCATAATAACTAAGATATCAGGTCACAAAGGACTTTTCTCCTGCATTTTCCTCTAAATCCATTTTGAGTTAATTTTGTATAGGCATATAAATTTTAAACTACAAAGATCATATGGGGAAAATATTGCCAAATACCAGTTCTCTCCATAGCATATTTCTTTCTAAAAGGAATTATACTCGTATTTCCATTTCCTGTTAAAATGTCACCTTTGCGCCCTGGCTGGTATAGCTCAGTGAATTGAGTGCGGGCTGCGAACCAAAGCATTGCAGGTTCGATTCCCAGTCAGGGCACATGCCTGGGTTGCAGGCCACGGCCCCTAGCCAACCGCACATTGATGTTTCTCTCTCTCTTTCTTCCTCCCTTCCCTCTCTAAAAATAAATAAATAAAATCTTTTTTAAAATCTTAAAAAAAAGTCACCTTTGCTTTAAAAGGACAGGTTTCATATGTTTGTTTATTCATTCATTTATTTATTTATTTTTGAAGATATTGTGAAGTAGCTGACTTTTTACCACAAAGGCCAGCTAGTTTGGGATGCTCATCTTTTTTGCAAAAGAAAAATGTTTAACTTTACATTTTTAAGATCTTAGGTGGTACTTGATCCCACAAAAACTCACAAGGGTCCTGCTGCTTAAAGATCTTCTGAGATTAGCCTCATTATTGACACAGAAATATAGCACAGAAATAGTGGTATTCAGGATGTGCTAAAAGCAGAGGCCAAAGCGTACCTCCCCCCCTCACACACACATGGGGAGAGTCCCACACTTCCTTTGAGACACTGGTATACACATGGCACATGCTAGCCCAGGGAAGATTCCACTGGCAATCCATATCTTATGACTATTTGGTGAAAATTTTTAAGATAAAAATAGATAAAATTTCTAGTATTTTTCCTACCCTGGGGGGTCGTGCACCTTCTGGGGATACCACTGCCCTGAAAAGTCTTAGAACACTTCCTCGCGGGTGGTAGGTGATCTGTGAATGTTCGAGAAATAAGTGACTTTTCCTGTCAGAAATGGTGAAGCTGTGGTGCTTCATGTGGTCATTTTCCTGTCTGCTTTCTTCAAGGATGTGTTTTCCCATAGCCACCGTCTTCTAAGCTCTGAACCAAAGGTCTTACATGTTTTTTAGAGGGTGGCACTCCTATTATCCATCCATAGGACCGTGGAACCATGAATAAATACAGTTTTGGAGCTGGAAAGGGATTTGGAGGTCAGCTAGTCCAGATTCCTTCTTAAAGTCAAATTAAAAAAGGAGCAGACAAGGAACAAGAGGAGTCCCGAACACAGGTGCCACCCGGGAACCTCTTCCTGGAAGGTCAGAGGAAGCCGAGCTGAGACTTAGGGTTGGTTGGCGAAGAGCCTCCCCTCAATGTCTGAGGGGACACTGTGGGCAAAGCTGGTGAGATAAGTTTCCAGGAGCTTCACGTGGTTTGGCCCAACTACAGCAAAGCTACACTGGGAAAGGAGCAAGAGAAGAGACTGCAGGGGTCAGTGGGGCCAGACTGTGACGCTGTCACTACCCTGGTAGCACTCAGGTGCCTTTGCTCTAAGGTTGAGCTGACAGGTTGGCCAAATGGGTCCATGTTACTGGGACATTGTCTCAGCTAAACATCTGGCCTGGACTCCCCGGTCCCCAGTTTCAAGGTTGTGATACTCATATTCATGCTCAGTTCTCGCCTGGGAGCTCCTGGGAGCCCCAGGGATGCTTCGAGACCCAGAGGAAAAGAGAGAGCTGGTTTAGGTGTGAGCGGCGACTGGGGAACATTGGGAGCCACACCTGGGAGTGAAGGCGTCTGGCGCATTTGGACGCGGAGGCGACCAACAGCCCAGCTGCCCCAAGGCTGCTTCCTCACGAGTCAGGAACCCTGCCTTTCTCTCCGGCTGGCGCCGCCGATCCCCAAAGTCCTGCTTCTGACAGCGACTCTCTCGTGGGCAGTGATCTGTATCCTGTCTGGTTCTCTCTAGTGAACCAGTCCCCCCCAGATTTCTCCAGCCACTGAGTAACAGAGGTCATGGGAGGGCCTGTTACTGGTTTGTTTTTAGAGTGGATTTCAGAGCCGACTAGGGCACTTAATTCAGGGTCCAATTGTCAGGCCACATTAAAAATGCAGGCAGCAATGTGGAACACGGCTGGCTCATGTCAGCCAGACATGGTGTGTAACCAGAGGAGGAAAACACGCACCGGGCCTGTGTTAATGGAAGTCGACGCCAAGTGGCATGGCACGCTCTGGCTCCCGTTTCTCCTGTCCCCTGCCACGTCCGGCCGGAAGAAAGAAGCTCGTAGTTGAGTAGAAGTGAAAGCGGGACGGCTGCCTAATGAGCCTTCCTGTGACTGAGACACCGCGTGGCTCACACCTCAGGAGGAGACTCTGCTTTAGGAGGATGGAGCCTGTCGCGGCCGTTAGGACCTACAAGCAGGCCCCACAAGTGAGAAGATGGTGGATTTGGTGGCTTATTCTTGCCCCAGCAATTCTTTGCTGTCTGCTGCAGAGCGGGACCCAGAGGCGGGCAAAGGTGCGGGCGCTGGTTTCCAGGCCCCGCCACCTGGAGGAGAGCTGTGGCCAGCGCAGGTGACGGCAGTCGGGGGGTGGGGGGGGGGCCAGGAAAAGTGTGGCTGGGTCACCTCAGGCCGATCCATTGTGTCAGATGCTGTCCGGAGGGAAGGAGTTTTTAATGATAGTGTGGAGTTTGTGTTTTTCATATCTTCTCACCTGGGCCGGTGCAAACAGTCCAGGTGTGGGCTGGCCTGGGCTCTGTCGCCGTTTATTCTGCCTTCTCCCCCGCCATGCCATTCGCCAGCTGAACTATTAATTGTCTCACTGTTCCCTTTTGCTGTGTCCGTCCTGGAAGGTCACGATCGTTGTGACTTGGGGCTGGTTTCCTGAGTGGGTGGATGGAAGGGACTGTCTAACCATCGATTTGTGTTTTTGCATTTCAGTCGTTCCAAGGAAGCCAAGGACGAGCGTACCTCTTTAACTCAGTGTGAGTGTCTCTGACTGCACCTCCATTGTCTGGTGTACATGTGGAGGGGTGGGAAGAATAAAACTCTCGATGGTCCTCTGTGCCACAGGAAAAAAACCGTGGAGTGCTCATTTCCACAAGTGGTAGCCAGTTATCTTAGGGGAATTTTTTTTGGCACCATCTTTGGCTGCTAAAAATAATACATTCGCTATCCCCAGTAGGCGCATCAGAGAGCTGTGGTCTCGGAGGGAAGAAGCTGAAGTGCTTCTGAGAGAGCCCTCGACATGAGGTCTTATGACCGGGTCTGAGACACGTTGTTGGGGAGGAGAGAGTGAACAGAAGACACCGACCTCCATGGAAGGGCCTCAGGCTGGAAGGAAGGCCTGGTCAGGGCCAGTCCCCACCCCACCCTCCGCAGACGCAGTAGCCTTGGTCCCCGGGCATGTCAGTTATGGCCTCTTCCCGGGAGAGGAAGGTGAAGCTCCCACAAGCCCGATGAACTGTGAAAATGGAAATCTAGCGTGCTCAGCCTGAGATAATGTGCGCTCCGCAGAGGAGTAGAGTATGTTTGACATTCCCGTCTGTAGTCAGTCACCAGGAGGCTCTGAGGGCCCGCGCCCGTAGCTGTGGACTTCACCGTGTGCCCACCAGTTTGTCCCCTTAACTCCCCGAAATTAAAAGTGCTTGTTAGAAAAATTCCAGACAAAGTCTCAACCATCAAGACTATTTTTAGTAGACTCATTGAATCAGAACTCGCAGACCTGAAATTCACTTCAGTGGAGATTTTCCACGCGGCTGCCCCTTGGGGGTGGTTATTGATTGCAGTTATAGACGAGGCCCTTCTCGGCGCTGGCCTCCCTCGAGGCAGGCGCGCTCAGTTAGTGTTTTGCTGGAAGCTCAGCTTGAGCAACTGATGATGAGCATGTGACTAACTGCCCGCCCTCTCTCTGTCCCCTGGCACAGAGTTAACGTGGGCTGTGGGCCTGCGGAAGAGCGAGTGTTGCTAACAGGACTGCATGCAGTCGCAGACATTTACTGTGAAAACTGCAAAACCACTCTGGGCTGGAAATATGTAAGTATTGGGAAATCTGGTGCAGAGAGGGCCGTGAAGGGGGTGGCCGAGAGAGAGCCTCACACAGGAGCAAGCTCTCTGTGGCCTGTGGGACTGGTGTTGACCAGGACAGGAGACCAAGCTCAAAGAGCAGCGCCTGGCACACTCCTCTGTTTGCCACATGCATTCTTCCCTTCTGCTGACGGTCCTCTCTGTCGACTCGTTCCCACACACCTGCCCCTGCAGTGGGCAGACGGACAGACACACATACACATGCCCCTTTGCCTTTTGATTTAATAAACAATAATAATATTAGCACAAAACATTTCTTGACAGCTGACTATGTTCCAGGCGTACATTCCCTTTCTTCACAGCACCCCTAGAGGGCAGGTCCTATTCTGTGGATGAGGAAACTGAGATTTACGGAGGTTAACAGTGTGTCCAGTGCAGGTGGTGACTGCAGAGCAGACCTCATACACTTTCTTTCTTTCTTTTTTATTTATTTATTTTTAGAGAGAGGGGAAAGGGAGGGCAAAAGAAAGGGAGAGAAAACAGCAATATGTGGTTGCCTCACGTGCACCCCCTCCTGCGGACCTGGCCTACAACCCAAGCATGTGCCCTGATTGGGAATCAAACTGGCAACCCTTTGGTTCACAGCCCACGCTCAATTCACTGAGCTACACCAGCCAGGACTCTTTTTTTTTTTTTAATTGAATTTATTCAGTGACATCGGTTAATAAAATTATATAGGTTTCAGGTGTATAATTTTGTGATGCATCCTCTGTGTATTGTGTTGTGTGCTCACTACCCCAAGTCGGGTCTCTCTTCCTCACTAAGCCTCTGCTCTTTGGAGCTCCTACAGACGTCCCCAGAACGTCTCTCAGGTCCCCGGCCCTATGCCAGGCGTCACCAGACACTGTGAGTTTGCCCACCGTCAGATACAGTCATGGCTGGACTTTCCCAACTGCACATTCATTCCTTCATTGTTTGACTCAAAAATAGTCTTCATGTCTTCTTGGTACCTTGGAAAGTGAGCAGTCCTTTGCCAGGGCTGGGGAGTACATATATTCAATGAAAACAGACATATTATTGTGGTGGTCATATCATTGGCTGACCTTCCACAAGGCTTTTGTCTGCCCTGTCTGTCACCTCGGGGACATTGGAAAGCCAGTCTTCCTGTCTCTGGGAGGGCAATGCGTTCCCTGTGAAAGGCTGGGGTCCGTGTAAGGCTGGCTCACGTGGCCTGCGTTAGGTGGCTTCGCCAGGAGCTGGCAGAGTGGTAGTGCCCGGCCGTGTAGCTGTGCCGACTGTCACAAAGGTACCGCTCCCCAGGCTTCCGATAGTGGGTGAGGTTGTGGGGGGCGAGCAGGGAGAATAGGGGAAACCTCTGTGCCTTCTGCTCCTTTTGGCTGTGACCCGAAATCTGCTCTGAAAACTGTGAAGTCTGTTTTAAAAAATGCTGTTGAACAATGGCAGCCAGGCATCCAAGTGTGCTTGCATTTCAGTCAAGTTCAAAAATAGGCAAATCTTAAAAACAGCTGCAGGTGGAGTCTGTGATGGAGCAGCACTTACATCTCCCCTGAAACATTCGGAGTTCAGCAGGAAAACACCAAGACAGCGTGTTTCATGACACCAGGGTGGTTCTGGGAGAAGCTGGCCTTGGCCATTCTTCTCCCACCCCCGACCCCTGACCCCCACCCCGTATGGCACGGGCCCCCTCTGGGTGGTCTGTGGGCACAGGTCTGGGTCAGTTATTCAGAAATGCTCTGCGTTTCTCCATTTCCCAACCTCTTGGTAATCTTACCCTGTTCAGGCTGTGCTGGATCACAGACAGAAGATAAATCTGAGGTGGTTGGCTTTGCTCTTTACTTCAGGTCAGAAGAGTCACTCCTTTGGCAGAGCTTTTTTGAAAGCTTTTGTGCTGGATACGGAAGTGAAGAGAGTGAGTCCTCGCCCTCAGGGTGTGTACAGTCAGGGGGCTGGGGAGGAAGGCCTCAGGTAAACCGTGCAGTTTGGCAGGTGCCAGGTTTGCGGGGGGCAGGAGGGAGACCTCTCCCCCCAGAGTCATCAGTCACTATGGTGGGCTGGGCCCAGGGCTCCGATTGTCTTTCCAATTACTCTTTCTGACCCTCATCAGAATCCTGGGAAGTGTTAATGACTATCCCAATTCTGTAAATGGAAAGTTTATAATTCTGTAAACCGTAAACAGTTCAGCGATGCTCCTGATACTGGGAAGCAGAAGTGGAGTTCAGTCTGGGGTGCTGTGGACTCCGGAAGTAGCACTTCTGCCCTTGGAGTCCAGGTGTGTCATTTTGCAAATGCCCTGGGGCTGTTGAGGGTAATTTAATAGGGTAACTCTCTCATTTTCCTAGTTTTTTTTGTCCTCTGCCCACTCGGAACATACTACTATGGATCAGTAGGTCTTATTCCTGAACCACATTGTCTGTTGTATCTCTCTCTCTCTCTCACACACACACACACACCACCACCACCACCACACCCCCCCCTGCCCCCCTCCCCCAGGGGAGAAGGACGTGTCAGGGAGATTCCCGCTGAGCCCGCAGCTCTTGTGCGTGTGATGCTGTGTGCACATTCCCTCTTGGTGCCCCTCCCCTCCCCATGATCTGGACTGATTCCTCTCAACAAAACACTGGTCCAGCCTCTCCTCCCACCCGAGGCCCCAAGCTCTAGCACAGAGGATCCAGTTCATACTCGCGCTGCCCAGAACCTCTCGACAGTAGGATTTGGTTAACTCACGTGGGGATTCGGGAGGGAGAGCTGGTGTCCACTGCCTCTGTGCATCCAGCTTAGCCATCTAATGGCTCTGATGGTGCACCCAGAGGTCTTCAGGTATCTGCCTGCAGAGAAAATAGCCGTTTGATCTCACATCAGATAAAATAGCTTTTTGATCTCACATCTCTGCAGGACTTCTTTCTGTGGGGCTCATTATAAGCTGGGAAAGCCCACAGCGCTGCAAGTTGAGGACTGCAAGTTGAGGACGGGAAGCTGCCAGGTGCTTTGTCCTGAGCTTTCCCGCCAGAGGCCTGGCAGCTGGGTGGGGCTCGAGGGCTGCTGGGCCCTTCAGCCTGGAGTTCTCTGGAGAAAGGCAGTGAAGGAAAAACAGACTTAACTCATCTAACGTAGAAACAGCAAGATAAGACGTGAAAAGAAGACCTGTTCTGTCTCACAATACGTTGCTTCTCTCTCCGAGGGTCTTTTCTCTAAGCCTAACACAGTCCAGTTTAGAATTAGGACACAGGAACTTCATGGCTACGTCCATAGGGCAGATTTCGGGTTAGGCAGGAAACCAGGTTCCCCTAAGACAAAATATATACGCATTCGTGCATTCACTCAGCAGTGATTTATTGCAGCCCTGTTCTGTGCTGAGCCGTCTCCCAGGCTCTAGGAACACAGCAGTGAACGAAACAGAGGACTCGTCTGCCTTCCGGGAAGTTTCTGTTGCCGTAGTGGGGTCGACACACAGAATAGGTGGGCGAGTTGCAGTAAGCTGGCTAGTGGCGAGGGCTCTGGCGACCAAGCAGCAGACGAGGGGAGGGACTGCAGTAGAAGTTAGGATTCCAAGTAGCTGAGTGGTTGGGAAGTAGCAAGAGGGTAAACTTTGGGCAAAGACTGGAACGAGCAAAGACTCTAAAGAAATTCTGTTATATTGGGAAATTCCTGGTGTCGTCCCAGAGCTGTGGTCAGCCGAAGGGGACGTACGTAGTGTGTGTAAGTGGTGGGAGTCCCTCGGTGAGTCTGGGCAGAGCTGGGGGCAGGCTCCAGGGCCTGTCTCAGGCCCCAGCTTGGCTCCCGCGCCCCAGAAGTCACCTGCTTGTCTCGGGTCATTCAGCGTCTTTCCTCTTCCTTGTGTCTCCTAGGAACACGCCTTTGAGAGCAGCCAGAAGTATAAAGAAGGCAAATACATCATTGAGCTAGCACACATGATCAAGGACAACGGCTGGGACTGACTGCGGCGCGCCCGCCCGCCCACCCCCCCAGTGTCCGCGTGAATGCCGTCCAACCGAACATTCTACCCAAGCGCGAGAGAGTGACTGGACACTTGGTTCCATCGTTTAGGGGCCTTGCCCTCTGGGGCACCCTCCCACCCTGACACCGCCTTTCCGGTGCCCGGCCTCTAAACTGCTATCTCTCTGTCTCTTTGCTTTGTATCTGTTTGTGAGTCGGTCCTGGCTTCTCTCTCTGTCCTAGTGTTGGCTGAAAACAAAACACCAGAAGGAACGGATGCCTGATCGCGGGGTGGCAGCCCACCTTGATAAGGGCCCGGGGCCACGCAAGAGCTGCCCGACGGCCTCCTGCCAGGGGAGCAGTGCGCCGCGTTGGGGTGTGAGGAGGAGGGGAAGCGGGGAACCGTGAGTGTTCCGGGGGTGGGCAGGGGATGGGAGGGGAGAAGTAGGAACAGACTTGTGCTACTCCTGGAGACCTGGTGACTTAGGCTTGAAATTACCAACTTGTCTAAAAGGACAACAAGAAAAAAATACCTCATGACCGCATTCTCTCTGATCAGAAGCTTCTGTTCCTGCCCCCAATGTGCCAGGTTAGCGTGTGACCCCAGAAGCGACCCTAATTCTAGCGGGCGGGGCAGCAGCCTGGTTCTCCTGGGCCGAACTGGGGGGCTGTCTTGGCAGCAGTTAGTGACTCGGGGGAAAAGCCCAGATGGGTTTTGATGACTCTGAAATCCCACGGCTGCTCTGGGTAATCATCTTTTCCTCTTCAGCCACCGTAGGTGAGAGGAGAGGGGACCGCCATTTGCATTGGTTGCAAAATCCAAACGTCCCAAAGGCTTGGACCAGGAACCGAGTCCAGTCAGTCAGTGAGGAGAGCAGGGGGCAAAGGGGGCTGCAGTTGGGGAGCTCCTGCGGAAATGGCTCAGATGTTGGGCCAGGGGAAAAAAAAGTAAAACCAATTAGCATCGCTAACCTTTTTTTCCCTGACCCTCAGTGAGAGAAGAGCGTTGTGGCGAGGAAGGGTGTGGGGTGGGGCAATGCTGGGAGTAGTTTAGATTTGAACCACGACAGGTTAGGTGCATCTTTCGTCTTTGGTATGCGGTGGCTTCAGTGAGATCGGCAGTTCTTTGTACGTAGAGTTTTGGGTGTTTTTCTCCAGTTCAATCATTGTAGATTGTGGAAAACAAAGTCCCAAGGCTTTGAGCTTAGTGATAGCTTGGCTGGTAGATTCCTCATGCCCCTAGCTGTTCTCCTTGGATTTGGATGTTTTGTGTGGAGAGAGAACAATCAGAGTGGTCCAGCGGTGGGGAGGACTTAGATTTGATGTCAAGTGACAAATTTTAATGCTACCCCCTGCTCCTCACCTCCCTATCCAAAGTTCGTTGTACTAGGGGAAGTGGAGAACCAATCCCTGCAGGGCTCCTGCGAGGGGGAGGAGTCCGTTACATCCAATCAACACTGTGAAGCCAGTTCTGCAGCAATTCAGCCAGTACACGGTGCATGACCGAAACTCATCTAGCTAATTTCATTGCTTAGACTGAAAATATTATTGTTCAGATATGTGTAGGGTATGGCAGGTGATTCTCAGTATCTCATTGTCCAAGTAGGCTGATCAATATTCCAAGTAGGAATATTCACCTTAAAAGTCATAAAAGAAAGTATTCATGGAGATAAAAGTCTATACATTTGATTAACCAAGATTCAAGCAGCCAACCCAGGACATTTTCAGAACTGAACCGAATTCCCATAGGGAACGAGTCCGCAGTGGACATGGCTTTCCGTGTCCCCGTGAGCCGCTCGCTGAGTGGGGGAAGTGTGGGTGGGCATGGCCCTGCTGGGGCAGGACCGGACAGCAGGACCGGCAGGACGCAGGCGGCTCCTGGCTCAGCAGCCGCTGCCTCTGTGAGACAGAAGGAGCCCTAGCAATGGCATTCTGTGCCCAAAGACTTCTGGCCCACGCAGTTCGGTGCTGTGGTAGCCCTGGGAGATTGTTGTTCCCCCCACAATGCTGAAAAGCAGACTGAGGTTCCGAAAACGTGGTGTGTTTCTGCTCCCAGAGAAATACTTCCTCTGGCTCCCAGGCACTTCCAGGCCCAAGATCTCAAAAAAAATTTTTTTTTTAACTTTCACATTCCTCAGCTGGCTTGCCAGCACAGAACTCATAGATTCCCCTCCAGCCGCGCCCCCAGCAGAAGGTAGTGACCTTCATTTATGGGTTTTGATTGGCCCCTTTGCTCAGGGAATGTCCTGGCTATTGATACTCCTTCCCATAAAAAGAAAATGGGGGCTAAGCGTGGGTAGGTGTTTTGTCTTTAAAAGTAGAAATGGAGTGTGATGACGTGGGCACCAGACACAGGGCTGTAGAATTATCACCAGTCAGGGGAGACCCGTGTGTCACTGTTCTTCCTTGTGCTGGGGCCTCTGACGTGTGCGGGTCAGAGCAGGCTCCAGCAGAACCCTGGTTTGGGTGTTTGCAGCTACTACCTGTTGAGCATCCAGTGGGCGGATGGCGCCGTGCTTGGTGTAAGAGATCTGAGCAGGGTGTTGGTTTTTCCATAACTACAGAAAATCAAAAGCCCAGACCATTAGGCTTTCCCTTTGTGTCGATGAAACCAAAAGTGCTTCTTAAAACTTCAGCTCCATTCATGGCTTGTCTATCTAACATCATAGTTTTGGAGAGACCGCAGCTGAGCAACGGAGATGCGTCAACTGATGGCCTCAGTCAGTTCATTCTTTAATTTTCCTCACCAAATTATTGACTCAGAGCATAACCAAAGACCTCATCCACTCACCCCTGGTAGGTTCAGGGAACTGGAGTTCCATGTAAAGCTTGGGTGGGGCTGAGGGAGGAAGGAAGGGGAAAGGGAGAAGGGAGAAAGGGAAAGGCGTGGAGTTCTATACCTCAGCCAGCAGCTGCCTTCATTTTCAGCTGAAGTCCAGCCGCAGACCCTCCAGTTCCTCTCCCTTGTGCCATCCTTGCCCAGATGGCTTGGTGGCCCTGGATTCCATCCCACCCCATCCCTACCCACCCTTGATACCCGTCTCAGGCTGCTCATAGGCTGATTTGACATGAATCAGATTCAGCCGAAGCTGATGGTCACAGGTGGTCAGCTGGGCCCGGCTGAGCGCTGCCCCAATGCCGACGGCGGTGTGAGCCTGGAGACAGGAGCGAGGAGTCTGGGCTGGTGGGTCCGTGTGGGGGAGAAGAGGTAGCCCCTTTATAACAAGATTTTCAAGTGGATATATATAAAAGAAACAGTTGCTTGTGAAATATACTTTTGTAAATAATATTTAATTTTTTAAATAATATATTTGGTGCTGTTTTCTCAGATCCCCTGAGAGCACTTTTTATTTTCATTTTTAAATTTTACAGGTTCCTCTGCATTTCTTGAAGTATATTTTAAGGGAAACAGTGATCACCAATGTATTGTATTTTGTTTTGTTTTTTTAAAGACATCTCTATCACATTAGAGGCAATAAAGCAATGCCTCTCTGTATTTCCCCCAATGGAATGAACTCTACAGTACGTTACCAGGTTGGGAATCGAACTATTTTCTTGCACCGGTATTGGCCAGAAAAGAAAATAAATATAATCAAATAAATTTAGTAACAACTTAGAGTGAAACAAATTGGAAAATGGGAATCTTTTGTGTGTGTGTGCGTGTGTGTGTGTGTGTATGTGAAAAGCACTTTGGACTGTGCCTCCTGGTTTCTTTTTTATTGGGGACACTGTACCTATAGTTTACACCTTGGGCACATAAGGCTTTTCTTCTTTCTCTCTGGTGGTGGTTTTCTCTCTGAGTGGACCAGCAGCACAACTGTGAGATCTCGTTTTCCTGAGCACAGAGCTGTCGCCAGTCTATTCCTTTTTCTTTGCGCACTCAGCTTTTACAGACTGGAAAGGAAATCTGTTGTCTGTGAAGATCCAGCAGAGTCAGATCTGTTGGGGTGTGAGTGTGCTCATCGCGGAACCCAGGGCTCCAGCTGCTGTAGAAGCCACATCATGCTAAAACATTGACTGGTTTGGGTGGAAAGATCGGTGATGAAATAATGCACATACCTTGTCGGGAAACAGCTTTTTAATTTTTTTTTAAGGTCAGTTTGCCTCAGGTTCAGGAAGAGGCTGAGAAATCAAATCTTGAACACAATCAACTTACATTATTTTTGTAAAAGTCTGCCTCAAATGAGAAATCACGCTAACGGTCTGGGTGAAGGAAAGAGATGTTTAATTTTTTTAAATTAAAGTACAGTCATGAAATCTGCCAGTAGTGAAAGGTAAAGCCAAGAAGCAAGCTCTTACCATTTTACCAAATTCTCTCTGCCGTATGTTTTTGTATAACATTTCAGTGAAAGTGAGAATTCGAGTTTCCGACCTGCAGAGACTGTCTTTAAATACAGACTGTTTATGCTTGTGTTTACAGACGATTTGTTGGGTTTGGGTTTTGTTACTTTCTTTCCTTTGTTTATGTTGTTGTTGTTGTTGTGGCATTTTTCAGGTCACTTTGCTTTAATAACAAAGATCATAATTTTCCAATAATTTGTCTTCACCATCTCCTGTATTTGTACATAGTGATTCAGTATTAGACAAAAGTGCATTGTTTCTGTCATATTTCCAATCTGTGTTGGTGCTCATTTGAGAAAATAAAGTTTTCAAATATTAATTCTTTGGAGGGCTCGTCTGCCTTAATTGACCCAGCCAGTTTTAGCTTGATACTCAATACCGAAAGGCCTGCGGGAGGTCACCTGTAACCCAATTCACAGACCTGTTAGCTAAGACCCCGAGGACTTATTTTCTCCGAGGAGGGTTGGCCAATTGAATAAAAAGCAGGTCTCCTGCTTATCTACAAATACTTTTCCTGGCTCTAGATATGAGAAATGCATGAATGACCTTAATCATTTCTGCCCACCAAGCCCCATATTCTCAGTTCCTCTGTTAATACCGATTTCTTTGGAGATAAGAGTGCATTAGGTAAGGGGGGAAGAAAGAAAAGAATTAGGTCGAAAAGAGGTAGCATCATCTCTGAATACCTGGCAAAGGGAGAGGAATACTCACGGTGACAACATGTGGAAAACCACTCACGAACAGATACCAAACATCTATTACTGGTTTCCAGGCACAGGGTGGGGCAGTGCGACTGTCCTGGTACATCAGCTGTCTCTGTTTCCCCGGCACCTTCCCTGCAGCCTTGTCTGAGCACACTCCCAGCCTGGTGTGGCGTGGCCAGCTGTAAGTGCGGCTTGGTGCTCTGGTGTCCTGTAAACGTTTTGGTTTAGATATCATCAATTTATACTGTATTTTAAAGTACTTTTCCCCAAAACTTGCCTCCATAACTTAGGGAGTTCCCATCTTGCACGGGCAACCTACATCACCAAGAGAGAAAGAATTAAAACCACACCCGTGTGTGTATGTATGTGTGTGTTTTCTCATCAGTGATAATACTTTAAAAGCCAATTCCCTATCAAATAGGAAGTCCCCTCCTTCCCATGAAGCTTCGCCTACCCGTCTGCGCCCAGCTAGAGTTGACTTCTGTGTGTCCTTGAGTGCATTATGTTCCTGTGACCTGATTTGCTTCAGTGGCTGTGCCTGCTATCGTGTCATTCTTGTTTGCCTTTGGCAGATGGGGAGGAGAGAGAAGAGAGCATGTGCAGGAGACACCCAGTCTCCTGGGTCCATGCCCTTCCCAGCTCTCAGCCCCGTCAGGTGCTGTCAGTGGCTGTCAGTGGCTGGGCAACAAGCTGGAGAAAGCGAGGGGAGGACACTAGTGTTCCTTGAGTGCCTGGTTTGAGCCAGACCCTGTGCTTTGCCTGTGTGTCCTCACTTAGGGGCCTTGCAATGAGGTGCCTCCTCACATCATCCTAGGAGCCCTCACCACCCCATGGGAAAGTGGATTTGAAATCAAACATCAACTATTCCCATTTTATAGATGATGAAATTGAGGTTTTGCAAGGTTTCTGGCTAGCGGCGGGGTCAGAAAACAGCTTGTCTAACGTCTCACAGGCCTGTGTTCTTCCCCCGTGCCACGTTCCAGACTTTACCCTCGTCCTTCCTCCATCCCCTGTGCCACGTTCCAGGTTTCACTCTCGTCCTTCCTCCATCCCCGTGCCATGTTCCAGATTTCATCCTTGTTCTTCCAGCCTTCTTAATTCCAGTGTGGCCTCAGATGACACTCTCCCACGTGACTGCCTAATAAATAAGGGTCCAGGCGATGCAAATGAGAAACTTAATGTAAACAAAGCCACAGAAGTCAGTGCTACATGAAAAAATGTTGTATAACCCGTAGCTGAATGTCAGCCGGGTTTTGTTGTCTTTTAATACTCTGTGTAATGGGTTATATATGTAATCCTTGGCCCCTCGATCAATAGGAACTTAATATGGTTTGGTGAACATTGAATTAACGTGGATGGTAGAGAAGTAATAGCTTTAAACATTCTGTTCAACATGTTAGAATCCCTAAGAGGAGAATGGAGATGAGGTTAGCATTAAATGTTTTCTACGTGAGGTAAATGGTTACACCATGAGCCATCAAATTATTGTTCTCATTTATTTTTGACATAACATGCCCCCCGCCCCCCGAGGTCTAGTCGGGAAACTAACCCCAGGGAGCAGAAGTTCAGTGGTGCTCATTGCGCAGGGTGGGGAACAAAGGGCTCCGCAGGGCCCCCTCCCTGCCGCTGGCCAAATACCCAGCCCCGCCAGCCACGACCCTCGACCCCCTCACAGGCAGCTGTTTCCTGCAGAAGCAATTGCTCATAAATCCTTTTATCTGGTCCCAATGAAGGGCTCACATCCCAGAGCCTGGAGCAGGGCAAGCTCCTGGAGTTGGGGCACCCGCCCTCAAACACTTGTTTCCCTTAGTGAAAAAGGAACTATATGGAAAGGGCTCAGCCCAGTCCCTGGGATATTATAAGTCAATAATAAATTAATTGTTGTTACAACAGATTCTCACGTCTGTTTTGAGTTGGGAGTGAGGTAAGGAGGACTGTTGTCTTCGTTCTTTATGTGCAATGTATGTTTGATTTCTCCCCAGTCCTAGGCAGCAAGCGCCCCCATTGTGCAGAGGAGAAATGGGGGCTCCGAGAGGGCAAACAACACGGATTCTTTCAACGCTTGTCCTGATTCTGAGTCTACGCCCAGTCTGTGGGCCCGGCTCGCCACTCAGGAAACAGGAGTAACTACCAAATAGGAAACTCTGCCAGATCTAAGCACACACCCAAAACTTCATGGCTGTTTTGTTCTCTTATGTTTAATTCTTTTTTCACGAAATGAAAATCCTGGCCTTTCCAGGGGAAGCCAAGAGCTTAGAACTGAGACAAGAGTGGCATTGTAGCATACCTTTGTTTTATAAGGATTTCAGGCCTGTTGATTTTATATTTCTTAGAAGGGGAAAGAAGTGTCAATTCCAGTTGTTGAGACTGCTTTAAGAGATACAAATCCAAAACCTTGCTCACACAGAAGTGACTAAAATGTCCTAACTTAGGACACTATTTCTTTTTTTTATTTATTTTAATCATTGTTCAAATACAGTTTTCTCCTTTTTACTCCCAGTCCAGCCCCCCTCCCACCCCTCCCCACTTCCCTCCCATTACCACCCTCCCCCTAGTTTTTGACCGTGAGGACACTATCTCTATGGGGCCGTTCCGGACCAACTCTCCAGACCAGCTTGGAACAAGCCGAGGATTGAAAGTTGATGTCACACAAGATACTTCTAATTCCCAAGTGATACGGGATCATTTTAATGAGAGTCAGACTTGCCAGAGATGCTGAATTTTCCAAGGCATTAGCAAATTATTTGAAATCTCTGACAGAACTATCAAGTTACATTTATTTAAAATTAAAGTCATGTCATTGATTTACCCCAAGATCAACCACGAGCAGGGTCAAGGAGAAGGAGGGTGGCTCCGGTGCGGGGCAGATGGGGACTTGAAGCCTGATTGCATGTCTGTATGTGTTCACTTCGAGGAAGTCACAGCAATTCTCAGGACCAGATCCCATCATCTGTAAAAACACACAAGTTATTGTGAGGCTCACAGAACAGCCACAAAGTGCCTGGCACATTGCCCAGATCAAGTAGGCTTTAGCAAATGTCACTGCCTCCCTCCCCCAACCCCCGAGTGGCAAGAACTCACTGTGATGGGCACTGCTAGCACATAGGATATTCAGGGCCCGACATTCCTCCCTTTAACCTACCTCTGCGAGGGGCACTTGGGAAACCAGTTCTTGGTCATGGGCCAGGTAAGTAACAACCAGAAGAGAAACCCACAGCATCTCGGCCATCAGGCCAGGTGTCCCCATTACCTGGCACCACGTTACCTGCTTCTACTTCAGGAGGAGAGTGTACACATTTTGGGGGTTTGGGGAATGAACAAGAAGAGCATCAGCTAGAAAAACACCCTGAATGTTAGGATCCTGCTTGAAATTTTTATACTAACCATCAGTGGTGGTCTTCAGGAAAGCGGAATTGGCCCATTACCCTTGTATTCTGGTCTGATGTGCAGGCAACACACGGGAGAAGAAGCCGAACTCTCTCAGACTCACTCACGGCCTCCCCGGGACTGCCTGCCTCCAGCTCCAAGCCTCTTCTGCAGAGCGGGCCGCACCAGCGCAGCCACCGAGCGACCAAGCCAGGGAGACTTTATTTACGGCTTTCATAATGGAGTCTCCTGGGAAATTTTTGCTTTCCCGTTCCCAGAAGCAAAAATGCATTTACAGAATGTTCTTGGAATTTATTACTCGTTTATTCTCTTTTCCTAGGACATTCTTGGAGCCACCTTGATAGAGTTTAAGATGTTTCTTCCCAAAAATAGGATAATCTGAGTTGTCCTTCATTTGGCTAACACGTTCTACCCAAGCCAGCAGTGTCAGGAATGGAGAATATAGGTCAGCAATGCTGCTGGTCATAATATAACCATAATCCTATGTTGAATGTGCCACGTTTATTACCCAAGCTGCCGCTAATCCAACAGGAATTTGTTTTATCTTTGTCTGGTTCCCAGTTCCTAATTTCCACAGTCATTGGAAGACAGCACCCACGTGACCTGGAAGCACTCCAACTTGAAGTAGTTTCCATGGTGATGAGACATGCCCAAAGTTCACGTTTCATTTCATTTTCTACTTCAATGATATTCTAAAGAAATGGTGCCATCTGAGGGAAGCGGATTGACAGAGGGAGTGCCACTGACCGTCCGGGCCCCTAGCTGTGGGAGGGACCTCTGGGAGTTTCTGTTCAGCCAGAGGGAGTGGGTGTTTATTGCAAAGAAAAGGTCAGAATTGCCACAGAGATCACTGGTTTGGACCTGTTGTGTCCAGTGCATCCGACATGTCACCTGGCCTTAGGTAGACCCGGGTCTCGCCAGAGGGAGGCTTTCCTGGAACAGCAATGCCACGAAGCAGGCAGAGCTCAGGATGAGGAGGACTGTGAGCTCCTTTCTGCCTGGGACAGGTGGGGATTAAAATAACAGACTTCCAGGCCCTAAGTGGGCCGGCCAGTTGGTTGGGCGTTGTCTTGCAAACCGAAGGGGTCGCCACTTCAACTCACATCAGGGCGCATGCCTGGGTGGTGGGTTCGGTTTCCCATCGGGGTGCATAGGGAATGCAACCCATCACTGTTTCTTGTTGTAGATGTTTCTTTCCCTCTCTTTCTCCCTCCATTCCCCTCTCTAA